AGGTATCAAGTCCTTTTCTGGGGTTACTTACCTTCTTTGTTTTTTAATGTCACTAGAACCAGCTTTATTGTCACTGGACCCTTGTCACTCAAAAAAATGTTCCAAAGAGGTCTGTTTCTGGTGTACGTTAGGAATTGTGGCAGCAGCAGGGGAGTGTGTTGGGAGACAGGACAAGATAGTCCTTCAATGACACTAATATCAACTCTACAGCTTATTTATCTAGCAAAATTCATCTAATATGACATAATAAACAATATTAATAACATAGAACCATGATATAAACCCTAAAATGAACAAAATATGTCACATATCTCTCTTGCTAACTGACGATTGTTGTTGTGTTGTTTGTTGTTGGGTGTATAAGGGCCACTGAAAGATAAGTCTTACATAGTGGTGGTGATGGTGGCAGCAGAGACGGAGGTGTTGTCAGTCGCTCTATATACCTCCAATGACATTGGAAGAGTCAGTTTCGTGCTGGTCTTTGTCTATCGATTAATCGCTTAACTTACTTGCTACACTGTTAATGCTACACTTCATCGCTGGCTGGCACTACAGCCTTTATCGACTTCCTGAAGATGGCACATTCTCCCCTCTCTCTCAGCCCTTTACCAAAGGGCTGGCTGGCACTAGGAACTTCCTTGGGGCCCATGGTCACTTATTTAGCAGTTGCAAGCGCTAAAAAGAATGGAATACGAAATGTATCGTATGATCGCGTGGGATCATGCTCACTGCCTGATAAACAATGGCACACTGAGTGTTGGGCTGCTGTTGCAATGCTGACACATTCGGGACGAATGACAATTACCGAGCTCAATGACGATCACCAACCCAATATTTTGACGAAAAAACGTTATGATTTCCGAATATTACGAAATCCGACGACTACGATATCCGGGAGTCCACTGTAGTTTTTTCAGTCACAGTAGTCACGAAGTGGAATGATCTTCATGTGGAAGTGGTGGCAGGCTCCATACATAGTTTTCAGAGCACGTATGATAAGGACCACATGACTAAAGAGTGAATCTGAAGTGTGACAAGGTAAGAGGCAGGGTCAGATCTGATAATCGACCCTTGCAATCACAAACAGGCAAGTGTATGTACATATGCATGCAAGCAAAATGAAAACTCTATACTGAGAAAAATATGTGCCAGATATAAAAACTTTTTTTTTAACACCTTTTTGTTGTCTCATTCAAACAGTAATGTCAAACCATAATACGGGTGGGGACTGAACTTGCATCAAGCGAGTCAAAAACTCCAAGCCAGTGTGTAAGCCACTGGCCCAGCTGGCTTACAAACTGGCCTGGAGTTTTATGATCCACTTGCCACAAGTCCAATCCCCCCCCCCAGTACCATGATTTGTTTGCAATCGTGTCATTACAATTTCGTGAGTAATGTCAAAGTTCATAGGAGCACTTTCATATTTTTCCTGGAGAAAGTTTAAGCTGAGAACCAACTAAGTTACGAAAGACAGGATGAAAAGATGATGCTTGCACAACAACAACAAATAAAAATTCAAGTATAATATCCTAATCTGCAAGTGTCCTGGGCCTAATGTGGTTAGATATCAGGTCCCTAAAGGGAGATTCCTGGACACTGGTGAGGGGCTCTTGATCCAATGAACTGGAGATATCCCTTTCCTTGGATCAACCCTGATTGTCTCCCTTATCCCCAGGTACTATCTTACTCCTACAGGTCTAGTACTCCTCCCATACATTTAAGCTTGATGTTATGACATCTGTATTAATATATACACATGGGCACAGTTTTTGCTTCCACTTTCTACCCTAATTTTCAGGCTGTGTTCACTCTTAGGTTTTAATGAGTTATGTCCCCAGGATGCAAGTTATTTTGAAAATTTAGAAAAAATAAATGCTTATTAACACATTTTCTCTAAACTGTATTGCTAATAACGTTGAAAAATGTCAACCCCTGCATACAATCCACTTTAACTGACTATATTCTAATAGATAAAGTACTGGAAAATAGTTTACTTACTACAGTCAACTACTGCCACCACCACTATTTCTATTCAAATTTCCATGGATTATTTGGAGCTAAGAAGTAACCAATGAACACTGATACTCTATTTTGTGTAACAGGCTAAAATAGTTGGTGATTAAGTTACTAATAGCAAAAGGTGATGTTTTTCTAAATAATATCAAAGATTTTGCTAAATCTGCCTGAATGCACAACTTCAGCAGTACAGTGTTGGAAAGTTAAGGAAAAGCTTAATGAAATCCTGAGTATGCACCATATAACTCACTGAGATCCTTAATAGAAGGTGGAGGCTGTGACCCTGGTATGCCAGGAGGACCAACAGGTGGTGGTGGTCCCATGGGTTCAGATACACCTATTCCTCCTGTAGCCTGCTGCAGGAGATCCACGATGGAGTTTCCACCCGTTTTGTCTGCTGGAGAAATTGGTGCGAAGAAGCGGTTGGAGTCGAGGCCTGCCGTGGGCGAAGGGATCACAATGTTTGGTTCGCTACCCGTGATTTCTGCAGAGGCAGTTTAGTGGTTAGGCTTCAGACTTAAGGTCTGAAGTGTGCTCAGCACTAAAAGCAGAAACCATGGTACTTCTGTGCAACTGGTATCTAAAGCAACTTTTCTAAACTAGGCATTAATGTAGAAAATGTACTATCATTAGTAATTAGTACTATCAGGCCTCTCCAGGTGAAATTAACAAGACTACTTCCAGTTATAGTTAGTAACTATAGGAATGTTTAGTTTTACCAAGAATGATACTTCACATACTGCTCGCTCTGGGATCAATTAAAAAGTTGCAAAGTCAGGTACATGGCTATTATGTACTTCACTACCAGAAGATACCACTTCTTGCCTTCCCTAGAAAATATACGAAGTACAGGAACAAAGCAAACCATCTTTAGTTTATCTTCTTTCAAAGTATAAAACAAAGATTAAATGAATGAATGTTTTAAAGAACATAATCCCTACTTATCAGTAACCATTTAACAATACTTAAAAAAAAAAAAAAAGTATTCCAAGCAGATCATTATATACAGTAAGTCAAAATACTTCAATCATGCTGCTTTGTACTCTAGGGAAAGTGCAATTATTTGATAATCTATTGGTGACTGCTTACTGAGTTATGGGGAGCATTCAGTGTAATTTTATTTCAGAACATTACTAACCAATTTCGTTGAAAACTTTCTTGTTTAATCAGTGGTAATGTTTGAAACAATTTCATTTTGACTGGAGCAGATGTTTGAGTTAAAAGGTTCTTCTATTCGTTTAGACAATTTTGAAAATGGTTTAATATCATAACCATGAGTAAATTTTGGCATGAAATTAATGTGCAACTCACACACCTTAATTACAATTATAATTATGAGCAGATATTTTCCAATTGGTTAATAGCAACCAAGAAAAAGTACTGTATGTATAGACAGCTATGCATGAATATGAATGTTCTCAGCTGCACGATTTTCTAATTTACTGTTTAGTTCGGAGATTAGGGGGTGGAGTTATTAAAAGTATTATTCAGAGGGCTTAATAGGGGCTGTTGAGATAGCTTGGGCATTTAGAGAGGAGAAAATAGGACTAGGGGTACATATAAATCTGGGGTGGAAGGAAGGAGGGGGTAGGGGTCATCTTAGGAAAGGTTAGAGGGGGGTAATGATGGTTTCTGACATCCAATAAGCTTGTCTAAGTGTGTTAGAAGTGAGTGGAGGCAAGTAGTTTTCATAATTTGACATGCTGTTACCATGTGAGAATGGTAACCCATATGAAGAGAATCAGGGAAACCAGTTAGCCAGAAATGAGCCCTGGAGGTGGGAGGTGCAGTGCCTACACTCTGAAGAAGGGGTGAGGATGTTGTAATTTGGCATCATCTGAAAAGTGATGTCAGCACCCTTCTAGAAAGACGGTGACTGATCATGTGAGTGAGTTTTCTTCTTTCTCAGGTCACCTTACCCAGGTGAGAGTTGGCTGAAGTTAAAAAAAATTTAAAGTGAAAATTTTTCAACCGCAAGTCTTAAAAAAGACGTGACTTATAAAAAGCAATCAAGTTAGTCAAAAATTTCTGGGCCTTTGATGATTTTAGAGCTCAGGCATGTGCCAATTTATTTTATCTGTGGGATAACATTCCTCATATTATCTGAAGTTATAAGGTTGTCATTTAGCTAGGATGCATTAAATGTTCTATAAAATCCCATGTAAACAAAATCCAATATACTATGCATACTAAAGGTGGTTTTGGTCTTTAGAGAGAATGGTCAAAGTAAATGACAGGAAAGCAAAAAAATCTAAGGGAAGGAAGGAGGGGTAGGGGTCCCCCAAAAAGGGGTTTGGGAAAAAGGGGGGGTAAAGGGGTTTTGGGGCGGGGGGCTTGCTTCCAGAAAGCGTGCATGAGGTTTAAAAGGAGTAAATGGAGACATGATCTTGGGACCTGAAACTTTGGAGTGTGAAAAGGGGGAAAAATTTTTTAGTAAGAGATTCGGGGAAACCGGTTTTTTATAGTCAGACTGAGTCTGGAAATGGGAAGTACAATCCCTGCACTTTAAAGGGGGGGTTTTTGGGATTTTGGGCATTTTGGGGGATATGTTGTTACTTTATAGTATAGCTTCTAAACTGCTGTATTCTGAGCACCTCGCAAAAACGTGATAATGTTGAGTGGGTGAAAGGTTTGAGATGAAAGTATTTTCCTTTTTGGGGGTTTTCTTTTTTTTTTTGGGCCCCTGCCTGGGGGGAGGGGGCCGACTTGTTGAGAAAAAAAAAAAAAAACAATAAAACCCAAAAACGAATCAAAAGTGAAGCTGTGCACCAAAGTAAAAGCTATCAATGAATGAGAGGAGTAAAAGAAGCAAAAAAAAACACTAGGAAAATTTTATATTTGAGTTTAAAAATTTTTATTGAATTTTTTTTTTTTTACCTAGTGGCAATTGCCTCCAAGCCCAGGGTTTACCCAAAGAAAACACATTGTCATTCATTCAACTGCTGCTTGACAAAGTGTTTTTGACATCACACATCAATTACCCTCCTTTTTACATTTAAAAACCACTAACTGGTTTTTTCTGAAACCCCTTTATATATTTACCTTGCTCACCTAACAGTAGTCCATTTAACCGCTTGTCTGTATTTACTCCCCCACACAAATCTGCTGGATGTCAGCCTCAACTCTCTCTTACCTTCCTTTCAACCATTCAAAAAAGGGGCCCTACCCCTTCCCCCCATATTTATAACCCTCTTCATTACCCATCCCTCACCTCCTTCTATAGCCAAAACCCCAACAATTAAACCCTTTAATTTTTGTGCTTTTAATTTTTCTAAATATGACATTGCCCATGCCTCTACCCTCATTGCGGCATATTTTAAAAACCTGTTTTTGAAATACAACAAAGAGTTGGTCCCCCCACTATACCGGGTACATTACATTTTTTTTTTTTTTTTTGGCCTCCTAATCTTACACAGTTGCCTCCACACAAAAAACCCACCTTTTTTCTCCTCATTTATGCTGAGGATACTTTTTTTTCAGAACCCATCTTGACATGCCCTTTTCCCAAAATATCTGAATACACCCTTTTCCTCATACTCCCCCCTCCAAAAAAGTATTCTCTACGTCTCCCTAAGCTCCACCATCATTCTGTTTTTTTCTGTATTCACTTAATTTTCCTTTTTTTTACCCCCCCCCCCCCAAATCATCCCCCAACCTTTGCAATTTGTCTTCAATTTCCAAGAAAGAACTGCACTATCGCAGGAGAGAAACAACCTTAATTTTAACTTTTTCAATAAAAACATTTTTTAACCCTTTTCAGGGTCCGTCCCATAGATTTACGGCTTCCCGTTGAGTTCCAAAACCTAAAACTACGCCAAAATTCTAGCGCCGTCAAATTTAGCGCGAAAAAGCGCTATGGGGCCTACATTGAGAAAGGGGGTCCAGGGTGGGGTCCCCATAAACAAAAAAATCGGGGCACCCACATAGTTTTGGGGGAAACGCCCCTCAGTTACCCTTGTTACCATGCCTCGTCGCAATCAGCTCCACTCCACAAAAAATTTGACTCTCCTCTTCCTATTATAGTTCTGACACTGATGAAAGGGGAAAAAATGAAGAAAATTTTTTGGCTTTGATCAGTTAGTGACTAAAACGAATGACCAGGATTCGAAAATATGCAAAAAACCCGACGATCCTCAACCTTCTCCCTCTGGTGTGGCACTCCCGGGACGGTCGGTGTACCTCAATGCAAAAAAAAACTATTATTTTCGCGGGGCCGGGCCTCTGACTTCAGAAAATGATGATGATAGTGACGTGGATTGTGATTTTATTGCGCTTGACGACTTTTCGAGTGTGATGTGAGGAATCATTTCACCTGAAGCGTGGGTAGACGCCGCCGCATGCGCCGGTAGTGTCCCCTAGCTGTGCCCGGGGGGAGGAGTACACCCGGGCCCTACACCGGTTTAGATAGTGATAGTGAGGAAAAAAGTGGTTTACACTTGGCAGGATAGCCACAAGCATCGAGAGGGTGGGGTGGTAGGTTTAGTGGCCTGCCATGCTGACTCACCAGCCCAGGTGGGACCCACGTGCTGACTTTCATTCGAGGACAAAGCGGAGTGTCAGCCACCACCCCACCAAAACCCACAACCCCCGCAAAACCCCTTGATGTCCAGATCCACCGCAAACCGTATCTGGGATTGGCAGAAAATCCAATTTTGTTCCCAAACCCCCACCACTATGAAAACTCTAAAAAGTGGAATTCTACCTACTTGCCCCTTGGAACCGGGGCCAATGAACGGGAAAATTCTTTAAAATTTTTTGACCAGCCCTTGATGGAAACAATTGTCGGGAAAGAATAAGTATTTTGAGTCACCAGGGCAAATACGAAATATCACCACCTCAAGCCCAAAAACCGGGGGGGAAAGGAAAAGACTGTTGCAAAAAATTTTTGCTTTTTTCAACAATAATGTTTATGCCTCATTCTATAAGCAAATATAAAACATACTGGCCCAAAAGATGGGCTAATTTTTTCTACCCCGGTTTTCGTGAAACACCCCAAATGAACAGGTTTATCTTACTGTTCTATGTTCCCTTTTCTCTGACAAAACCCAGGCCGAAAAAAGTGACAGGTTATACAAGATTGAAATGTTTTTTATCATCTAAAAACAAAATTTCCCTATATACTTTTATCCTTCAAGAATCTTTAATTGACAGTCTTTGATTTTGTTCAAAGGTAACTGTCTTTCAAGCAGTATTAACGAGCAAAGGAAAAACGTTTGGGGTATAAAACCCTGTTTGTATCTGTGCCCATGACAGGGGGCCGTTTTTTGGATACTGTTGTATACACTGGATGAAAACATTGAAAGAACCAAGATGTTATTGGGTATCTCAGGGGGACGTAGTGAGAAGCATGATGGGACCTTATCTTGGTAAGGGGCATACTTATACCGAAAACTGGTACAAAGCCATTCTCTGATTTTTTGCGAGTGAACAAGACAGATGCGTTTTGGACAGTTTCGTTTTTAAACATATGCCCCGGCTCAACGC